CCTTCGTCACAGGGCGTGGGTGGAGAAAAAAAATCTCGAGTGGTTCACGGCGGCGGGCACGCAGCAGAACCAATGGGGGTTTGTGGGCAGCTCTCCGAGCAAGCGCTAATTACGTCATCCAGGTGGTTGGGGATCGGGGAGCCGCTCAGCGCAAAGGTCGCGCTGCCCGTCGCGCGTTCGAAGATGGGCAAGGTGCGTGGCACGAGCTCGAGGCTCCTTCGTCTGAAGGGGGCACTGCGCGCATGTCCGTGGAACTGGACAAATCAGCTCGTCGGATCCGGGGCGAGGTCCAAGCAAAGATGCCCGCGGCCATGGTCAAGGATAGGTAGTAACCCTCAGCTTCGTATCAAACATGGCATAAGCAAGGGGTTGGCGTATATTGACGGGGTCCCGACTATCACGGTCCAGAAGCATGAGCATGAATCCCAAGAAAATCGTTCCGGGCTTATGTGGAATTACGCGCCGTTGCGCAACAAAGGTCTTGACCAGAAGGCGTCGCAGGATAATGTCAACGATATTTTTTTCGGTGGACGACAATACCCAGCGGCGTATTTAATCATGTTATGAATGTGTGGGGCGTTGACTATCGGGACCGTGGCTTGACGAAAAAGATCTCCTCTTGCACTTGGAACACGTGGGCCCCCCTCCACCATAGAACAAATAGCAAACTCAAGATATGTAACAGCTCAGTATGTTTTGCAAAGGCAATTCTGTGATGGCACTTCAGGAGGTACACGGCACTGTCCCAAAGCTCCGCTCACAATTGCACCAGCGAAGGATGCATTTCGCCATGGTTGCCTTTATTCCACAGCACAACGCGGGCAGAGTTGCGATTATGTTGCCAGCGATACCTAAGTAAAAAGGATAACAGAGAAAACCCCCATCATAATCGTTTCAGGGCTATAGGACTATAGGGCTATAGGACCATAGGGCTACAGGTCTATAGAACTAAAGGGCTATAGAGCTATAGGCATATAGAGCTACAAGGCTAAAAGGCTGTAGGGCTATAGGGCTACAAGGGCTATAGGGAGATTTGGGTTATAGGGCTATAAGGCTTTGGGGCTATGGGGCAATGGGGCTATAGGGCTATAGGGAAATAGTGCTATAGGGCTATAGGGCTACAGGGCTACAGGGCTATAAGGCTATAGGGCTGTAGGGCTATAGGGCTACAGGGCTACTAATGGGCTATAGGGCTATGAGGGCTATAGGGCTATAAATCTATAGCGCTATGGCGCTATAGGGCTGTAAGTCTATGAGGTTTAAAAGTCTACAGGGCTATAGGGCTACCGGGCACCCGGGCACTTGGGCACCTGGGCACCCGGGCGTGCCGCCGAAATCGGCGCCATACCTCACATCCGCGAGGACCCTACAGAGGCAAGTTCTGATTGGGGAATTTGAAGAAGGACTGGGCGCGCGCAGCGGCTCGCCATCAAGCCTGCGGCTACCTCAGAGCGCGGCGAGACCATGCCAGTAATTCACAAAATCCACAACTTCGGCTTGTCCCAGGCGCAGGTCGGCACCACAGCTGCTCGGATCCGTGCTGAATTGACGGTAGCGCTCCAAATCTTCGAGAAGGCCACGGTCATCGTCATCGGCGACATGCACTTCACAGTGGGCGCCCCCATGCATCTACATGCACCTGAGATTGACAAGGGGAGTGATTGTGGAGCCCAGACAAAGAGAACATGGATCGACTTGTTGGGGCACTTTGTCTGAGATGATCTAGCTAGGTCCTGAAAGACCGACGCGTTACATTGCGGAGGATCCGCGGCTTTCGGTTCTTGACAAAGTTCTCACTTCTTCCCCACAGTGGATGCCGCTGCAATGAACATTACAGCGACAGTTCTTGTCGAGACTGAAAGTTCGCATGAGGAAGGCACCTCGGATCATGCTCCAGCGTCAGTTGTTCTTGTCTCAAGAAGTCGCCACCAACTGGGGGTCAACCAGTCCCTCGCTTTGCTTGCGAATCGCAAGAATATGCAGAAGCGCTGGAGATTTGCTCACTTTTCAATCGGACATTGCGACACTGCAGCCCACATCGACATGGAGGGAGCTTATGAGAGAGGCTGCGAGAATGGCTCGCAACCGATAAGTGCGCGCGAGAACACCGCCACTTGAGGCACGCCCGTTGTCGCTCCGCTCCACGTCGAGAGCCGCGCATCTTAATAACGCCAAGCTGGCTAATATTGTGCTAGTTCGCTCGTCGGTTGCCGCGGAGTTCAGAACTGTCGTTGAATCGCAGCCACCTGTCGCGCCGTTGAAGTGGCCAGTGGCCACTGGATTGCCGCAGGCAATGCAAACAGCTTCAGAGGGACAGTTCGGACATTCGGTTGGCTAGGGCCCAGCGGGAGGCCCGTTGCTGCAAACGCTCCCTCACAAGACCCCGAGCGCACATGAGGGCCGAAAGGCGCCGGGGTAAGCTCTGGGTTCCTAAAGGAAAGTCTCTCCCCTTCAGGGCTTCGCGGACCCCGCGAGTGCCGCCCGCGCCTCTCTTTCGGACGTGATCGAGGCATCGAGAGCCCATTTGGCCCTAGTTTTCGCGCCGACATCAGCCTCGCTCGAGTACCTTAAGATGCATTTAAAATAGGGTGCGAAGCCGTTCGACTGGTCAGGTGCATCACCACCGACGCAGGCCACCATGGAGCAGGCAATCTCCCGCGCCTCACCCACCTCTCTTGGCCCCGACGGACTCCCACGTGCAGCTCTGCAACGTTCGCGCCACTCTGCCCTTGTACTCCTTGAGCTGACGCAGGTCCTTCACAGTGGCCCCCCTCCCCCCACGCCCCTCATCGACCTCCTTCTTGTCTTTGCTCCTGAGGGCCATGGAACAGAGGATTCCTCTCTCGTTGCGCGCGAGCCATCGGATACGCGGCCGCTAGAACTCAAGAACACAGATGCGAAGGCGATCGCATCGGCGACCAGCCACTGCATCAAACCAGCTTTGAGTCGGGACGCCCACGAGGACCAAAGGGGCTTTGTTGCTGGGAGGAACCTCTTAGACAACATCACCATACTTGACACCTCTGCCCGCGTTTCCAGTCTGCTCCCGGGGTCGTCGGTGAGATTGTTGTTACCAGGGCCGCCCCCTTCTATTGTTACCGCGTCGTACAGTTCCAGAGTTGCAGCCAAGTTCTCGAACGTTCTCAGCTCTCGCCCATCCCTGCGCCCATCCTGCGGTGGGAGACTTGGGCCTTGCATCGTGGCCCCCACCTTCCCCCCCACTCTCTTCCTGTCGCCCAGCTCTTAGCACTGCGCGCGCGGCCTCGCATTCGCCCGCAGTCGCTGCGCAGTCAGACGATTGCTGCGCTGACCAGGGCCTCTCCCAGCACAATTTCGACGTGGGCCCCTTCTCTGGGAACGTCTCCAGGTTGCGTGCAAAAATCATTTTGGGGATTGTCATCTGAATCAGCGGCCAGCGGCCCACATCGCACTGGCGCGCGCGCGCTCTTTTGTGCGAGAGCTCCCTTGAGGCCAGCAGCTCGTTCCAGAATGCCCCGAGGCTTCACCCACATGTCGCTGCGGCCAGGAAGGCTCTCGGCGAGGCGCTCGCGTCCGACCCCCGTGCTTCCCATCCAGGGAACGAATTCGAGGGCGTTGGAGAGCGCAGCGCTGGTCGATGATCTGCAGTCGGCCACGGCGAAGCGACTTCGCAGATGGGCCGGCTGTCCTCCCTGCTTTCGCGCTCTAGCCGCCATCGCTTGGCCCAGTGTCCGATCTGCGGTTGCTGCGACGCCCCCAGCATAGCAGATCTCAATGATTGGAACTCTGGTGGGCGGATGGGCGACGGAGCGGAGGGCTTGCCAGCGAGATTGCCCATGCAAGCTTTCGCGTCCAGGACAGCTCGATTACACGAAGCATCAGTTGTCCTGTCCTGCCCTCTGGGCTGAGGTGCACAAGATATGGCACCCAGACATTCCCTTGGAGCACTATCTCGACTGCCGTCTAGCTATTTGTTTGTGATCAGTCGGATGAGGAGAGGATTCCGGGTGTGCAGAGAGTTGCGCTGGCATTCTATATGTAGAATGCGGTAAAGAACGCCCCAGCAAGTGAGCTGGGTGATCTCGTGCCCTATGCCAGAGCTGCCAGAGCGCAGCCAGTACAGCAAATGCCAGGGGTTCATGCGTAACTGTTGGGCACCGTTCCGAGCTATGTGCGAGGAAGAGGAGGAGGAGGAGGAGGAGGAGGAGGAGGAGGAGGGGAGGAGGAGAAAGAGGAGGAGGAGGAGAAGGAATAGGAAGGGGAGCAGGAGGAGGAGGAAGAGGAGGAGGAGGGGGGGCAAGAGAAGGTTGGAGGCAGGAGGAGGAGGAAAAGGAGGAGGAGGAGGAGGAGGAGGGGGAGGGGGAGCAGGATGAGGTAGGTAGGAGGGGGAGAGTAAAAGGAGAAACAGGAGGAGGAGGAAAAGGAGGAAGAGGAGGAGAAGGAGAAGGATGACGAGGAGGAGGAAGAGGAAGAGGAAGAGGAAGAGGAAGAGGAAGAGGAGCAGGAAGATGAAGAGGAAGAGGAGGGTGGAAGGGCTGCGGAGGACCAGGAGGAAGAAGAGAGGCAGGAGAGGAAGTGGCCCGCGGGAGGAGGGAAAAAGGAGGAGCACCAGTTGGAGGAGGCGGAAGGCGAGGCGGAGTACGATGCCAAATTTGTGCGGGCCGTTCCTTCCTCAGCCGCTCGGCCTCCTTTCTCGCGTCCCTTCCAGATCTTTTCGCATTTGCGACCGACGACGAAGACGACGACGTCGACGACGTCGACGACGACCATGACCACGACCACGACCACGACCACGACTGCGACCACGACACGACATCGACCACGACATCGACATCGACCACGACCACGACCACGACCACGACCACGACCACGACCACGACCACAACCACGACGACGACGACGACGACGACGTCGGCGACGTCGACGACGACGGCGGCGGCGGCGGTCACGGCGACGACGGAGACGGGTTCTCGACAGCCGCCTGGCTCTCTCCCCCCCTTCCCGCGGCGGCTGTGTGCATGAGGAGCCGCAGTGGCAACGTGGCCTCAGCGAGGCCGGCGCGACGGCGGCGGCGCCGCCGCCGCGATTGGCGTCCTCCTCCTCCTCCTCCTCCTCCTCCTCTCCTCCTCCTCCTCCTCCTCCTCCTCCTCCTCCTCCTCCTCCTCTTCCTCTCCTCCTCCTTCTCTCCTCATCCTCCTCCTCCTCCTCCTCCTCCTCCCCTCCTCCTCTCTTCTCCTCCGCCTCCTCCTCCTCCTTCTCCTCCTCATCCTCCTCCTCTCCTCCTCCTCCTGTCATCCCTCTCCTCGTCCTCCTCCTCCTCCTCCTCCTCCTCGTCCTCCTCCTCCTCCTTCTCCTCCTCCTCCTCCTCCTCCTACTCCTACTCCTTGTCCTCCTCCTCGTCCTCCTCCTCCTCCTCCGATCTTTTTCCTTCTAAATAAGTCTGCCCTGTCGCACCCCGAGGTCGGTCGAAAGGGCGGGCCGGGCGTTTCACCTGAGACTTCCCACCATCTAGGACCTTGAAGACTGAAAATTGAAAACAGTTTGACAGATTGAGGGCGGGTGGTTTTCTAAATGTGATCCTCGCCTTAGCGCCACGCACATTCGTTTCAAAGATTCGCAAGAGCTTCACGGACTGAGGGCGTTTTCAAAATCTCGCTTTCGCTTAGCGCCGCGCACATTCGATTTTAAGATTTGCAAGAGTTTCACAGATTGGGGCGGGTCATTGTCAAAATATGGCTCTCGACTTAGCGCCACGCACATTCGCGCTAAGACATTGCAAGAGCTTCGCGGATTGAGGGTGGGTGGTTTTCAAAATGTGGTTCTCGTCTTAGCGCCGCGCACATTCGTTTTAAAACATTGCAAGAGTTGTATTGGTTGCGGGCGGTTTCTGTTCAAAATGTGGCTCTCGCCGTGGCGCCGCGAACATTCCTTTTAAGAATTGCAAGAGTTTCACTGGTTCCCATGGTCACAGTACCAGAGATTGTGTTTTCGAAAGATTCAGGGTTGTTATGGTACAGCAAATACTCGCGGTGTTGAAGTCCCAGGAATGGCATTCTGGAACGATTCGGGATCGTCAAGACGCGCCAGTCAGGTTGATCCGTGGCGTTGGAGTCCCGAGAATCATTTTCTGGCACGCTTCAGGCTCGTCAAGCGGTTGTCTTCCAACGAGGCTGTTCCCTCAGTGGAAGTGAACCGTTGTAGGGGCCAATGAAGAGGGAGCTTGGGGGAGGGTTTATTCCAACATCGTTGTTGACTCTTTGGTTTACACTGGTCCTCCTCCTCCTCCTCCTACTTCTCTTCCGCTTCCTCTTCCTTATCATCCTCTTCTTCCTCCTCCTTCTCGCCATCGTCAGCATCATCATCAACATCATCATCAGAAGCACCATCACCAGCTTCATGATGATAATCATCACCACCGCCACCATCATCATCAGCATCATCATCACCATCATCATCATCATCATCATCATCATCATCATCATCGTCATCGTCATCGTCATCGTCATCGCTTCGGTTCCTCCGGGCCTGCAGCGTCTGGGACAGGTCGCTCCTGTCTCACTCGCAGGTGTTGCGGTACGCGGCGGGGTGCAGCAACACTCGCCGTAGTGCATTGCGAGGTCCATGCTGGTGCTTCACACCAGCGCAGTCACCTCCTCGCCTGTACCCACGTAGACGTTGATTGTACTTCGACATTCCGCAGTCAAAAATCATCATCTTCCTGAACCTGGCCCGGCTTTCTTGCAACGGCGGTGCAGCGGCTCACGTTCATGCCCACGTTCACGTCCGCATGCATCTTCCCCTCGGGCGCCGGGTGTCCCTCGTACGCTGGCGGCATCGCGCCAGGAAGTCTATGGGCTCGGCCTATCCATCTGGTGCCACTACGTTAGTCGGGCTTGACCCTCTACAGGAACGAACAAACGAACGAACTTCGCCATCGCCAGGAGGCCCGGCGTCCCTGCAAGGGAGGCAGGCGCGCCTGTAGCACGCAGGCCTGCCTCTACGAAGGCCACTGGAAACAGTCGGGGGACGATGTTTTGAGTATTTTCCAGCATTTGGGTGGCATTTTGGGGGGGGGTTTATTTCCCGTCCAAAATCCGACTGTAGGGGGACATGCCCGACCTAACTCAGCGTCCTCTCCCCCTTCGGCTTGCACGCACAGTCCCACTGCGGCCCCACTCGTGGTGGCTCCTGCTTGCAGCACGGGGCGGCCCGCCACAGGCGGCGCCTCCCACGGCGGCGCCTCCCAGAAGGCGGCCCTCACGGCAGCGGCCCCCGCGGCGGCTTCGACGGCGGCCCCACGGATGCGGTTCCCACAGTAGCGGCTCCGGCTGCCCCCACGGCGGCGGCTCCCACGACGGCGAGTCCTCCGGAGGCGGGCCCTGCCAGCCTACCACCTCGGTGACCGTGGCGGCAGCTCCCACGGCTTCGGTTCCTTCGGCGGCGGCTTCCGCGCGGAGGCAGCTCCCACAGCGGCAGCTCCCACGTCGGCGGTTCCCACGGAGGCGGGTCCCACGGCGGCAGATCCCACGGCGGCTCCTGCGGCGGCGGCTCCCACGGCGGCAGCTCCCACGGAGGCGGCCCCCAGTCGGAGGCTCCCTCCGCAGCGGCCCCCACGGCAGCTCCCACGGCGGCTTCCAAGGCAACCCCCACAGAGGCGACTCCCACAGCGGCGGCTCCTACGCAGGCGGTTTCCACGCAGGCGGCTCCTATGCACCCAGGGGCGGCTTCCACGCGGCGGCTCCTACGCTGGCGAAGCGCAAAGCGACCATGGACGAAGTGTACGACGACCAGGAGGCGAACGACCAGCGGAGGAACGGCGGCTCCCTCAGGCGGTTGCTCACTCGCGGCGGTTCCCACCTTTGGGCGATAGCGTCCATGGGCCATCATCGCTTCGGTTCCTCTGGGCCTGCAGTGCTTGGGTCAGGTCGCTCCTGTCGCACTCGCAGGTGCTGCGACACGCGGCGGAGTGTAGCAACACTCGCTGCATTGCACTGCGAGATCCCTGCTGGTGCTGCTCACTGACGAGGTCGGCTCCCCGCCTGTGCCCACGTAGACGTTGATTGCCCTTCGACACCCACGCGACCATAAATCATCATCGTCATCAAAATCGACAACGACATCATCAGCATCGCCATCATCACCATCATCGTCATCATCATCATCAACATCATCATCAACATCAACGTCATCACCATCCTCATCAGCATCAGCATCAGCATCGTCATCATCGTCGTCATCATCATCATCATCATCATCATCATCATCATCATCATCATCATCATCATCATCATCATCATCATCATCTCTTTGGCACCGAGCCAAACACGAGCAAAAGAGGCCAGGCATCCCCCCGATGAAGCAGAGAGGCCTTGTCGGAAGGGAGGAGGGGACTCACAAAACGGCATTGTTCACGCACCTGGGGATGTGACATCTCAGAAGTCGTACCCATTTCTATTCAACCCTTCGACGACGACCGCGACCACGACCGCTACCACGACGACGACGGCGACTTTGGTGACGACGTCAAGCGCGACGACGACGACGACGACCACCACGACCACGTCCACGTCCACGACGACGACGATGACGACGACCACGACGACCACGACGACCACGACGACCACGACGACCACGACTGCGACAACGACCACGACCACGACCACAACCACGACCACGACCACGACCACGGCCACGACGACGACGACGATCGCGACCACGACCACGACCACGACCACGACCTCGACCACTACGACGACCACGACCACGACGACAACGACGACGACCACGACCACGACGACGACGACGACGACGACGACGACGACGACGAAGACGACGAAGACGACGGCGGCGGCGGCGGCGGCGGTGACGACGACGACGACGACGACGACGGCGACGACGACGACGACGATGACGACGACGGCGATGATGACGACGACCACCCGACCACGACCACGACGACGACGACCACGACCACGACCACGACGACAACGACGATGACCACCCACGACGACGACGACAACGACGACGACGACGACGACGAACGACGACGAACGGCGACGGCGACGGCGGCGGCGGCGGCGGCGACGACGACGACGACGACGGCGACGACGACGACTACGATGACGACGACGGCGATGATGACGACGACCACGACCACGACCACGACGACGACGACGACCACGACCACGACGACAACGACGACGACCACGACCACGACGACGACGACGACGACGACGACGACGACGAAGACGACGACGGCGGCGGCGGCGGCGGCAGCGGCGGCGACGACGACGACGGCGACGATGGCGACGACGGCGACGATGACCACGACGGCGATGATGACGACGACCACGACCACGACCACGACCACGACGACAACGACGACGACCACGACGACCACGACGACCACGACGACGACCACGACCACGACGACGACCACGACGACGACGACGACGACGACGACGACGACGACGACGACGACGACGACAACGACGACTACGCCGAGAGGCCAGCACGGCGCCGTCCCCGCCGGGGTCCCCGCTCGGGGAGGGCGAGGCGGCTGGCCGCTGCCCTGGCGCCGACGGCGGGTGCCGCCAGGGCGGGAGGGGGGGCACGTAAGGAAGGGAGGGCGTCTCGCCTCGTCTCGTCCTCCCCATCCTCCTCCTCCTCCTCCTCCTCCTCCTCCTCCTCCTCCTCCTCCTCCTCCTCCTCCTCCTCCTCCTCCTCCTCCTCCTCCTCCTCCTCCTCTTCCCTCTCCTACGCCTCCTCCTCCTCCTCCTCCTCCTCCTCCTCCTCTTCCTTCTCCTCCTCCTCCTCCTTCTCCTCCTCCTCATTCTTTTCCTCCTCCTTCTCCTCCTTCTCCCTCCCCCTCTCCCTCCCCCTCCTCCTCCTACTCCTCCTCCTCCTCCTCCTTCCATTATCCTCCTCCTCCTCCTCCTCCTCCTCCTGCTCCTGCTCCTACTCCTCCTCCTCCTCCTCCTCCTTCTCCTCCTCCTTCTCGGGGGAGAGGAGGACCCTGAGATCCTGGCGTCTCAATTATTTCGAGCCCGGCGGTTTCGCCTTTTTCGTGCCCTATGGCCCTCGCAGATGGATCAGGCTCGAAAAAGGACGCAGAAGGATGGGGTGCAGGGCTCGGGACGTGATGCTTCCCCACATGCTTCGTGAGGTTGTTGTTGTTTTCTTCCCACACACGTCGCACCCGCGTTTCCCACCCTCCTCCTCCTCCTCCTCCTACCTCCTCCTCCTCCTCCTCCTCCTCCTCCTCCTCCTCCTCTCCTCCTCCCTCCTCCTCCTCCTCCTCCTCCTCCATCCTCCTCCTCCTCCTCCTCCTCCTCCCTCCTCCCTCTCCTCCCCTCCTCCTCCTCCTCCTCCTCCTCCTCCTCCTCCTCCTCCTCCTCCTCTCCTCCTCCTCCTCCTCCTCCTCCTCCTCCTCCTCCTCCTCCTCCTCCTCCACCTCCTCCTCCTCCTCCTCCTCCTTCCCCACATGCTTAATGGGTTATGGTTCTCCACATGCTTATTGAGGTTATCGTGTTCTCTCCCACCCGCGTCTCACCCGCGTTAATCTTGATCTTCTCACCCCGCCTCCTCCTCTTCCTCCTACTCCTGCTCCTCCTTATCCAACTCCTCTTACTCGTTCTCGCTTGTACACACGCACACACGCATATAGATATGTGGATATGTATATATATACATAGAAATCAAACAGACATACAGATGGATGCATGCATACATACGTGTATGAATGCGCACGTGCATACTTGTATGCATGCACATATACATGTATTCGTATAAAAAAAACATACATCCATACATGCATACATGCATGCATACATACATACATACATACTACGTACGTACGTACGTACGTACGTATGTACATACATACATACATACATACACGCATGCATATATACATACCTACATACATGCATGCATACATGAATGCATGCATGCATGCATGCATGCATGTATGCACGCATACATACAAACATACTTACATACATACATGCATGCATATATGTATGCATACATGCATGCATGGACACGTCTGCATACAGGCATACATGCAAGCGCACATGCATGCATGAATGCGTGCGTGTACATGTATATATATATATACGCATGCAAGTACGTACGCATACGTATATGTTTGTATACATTTATACATGCACACACATGCATGCAGACGTACATACATTCATACCTACACATGTACATATGCATACATATACACATGCGTGCATGCATGCATACATGTATGCATACGTACACACATACAGACATACATGCATACGTACATACATGCATGCATACATGCATATATGTAGACAGACATGCATACATGCATATATGCCTACATGTACATACACACATACATACGTACAGACAGGCAGACATACATATGCATATACACATTTACATACTATATACATAAACACGCACCTATAATGAGATATACACTTATATATATATATATATATATGCACACCTACATGTAGATATACAATCATGCGTGCATACATGCATACATATATACACATGCACACACAATACAAAGCAGGTGGACTTGCAAAGCGTCGCAGTCGTGGCGCGTGGCGTTTGCTCGACGCCACAGGGGGTGCGCTGGGGGTTGTGGCGCTGTCCGTTGCGGGCTCGCACAACGTGGCGGGTGTGGCACTTCCTCGACACCACAGGGGGTGCGGTGGGAGTGGGGGCGCTCTGCGTCCTATGCGTTTTCCAACGGCCCGAACGTGTTGTGGCCAGGGGTGTGCGAAGAGTCGGACTGCGGTCTGATCTCTCACCTTGCTTACTGGGCTCGCTCGTCGGAGAAACCGCCCCCGCCTCGAGGTGCACCGGCCCACGCCGTGAGGGAGGTGGCGGCGAGGGCCACAGGCTGGGCTGCAGCGCCGCCGTCGCCGGCCCCTCGGCCAGAGACCGCGAGGCGGAGAAGGCGGGGGACGACGACGGCGACGACGACGACAACGACGACGACGACGACGATGACGGCGACGGCGATGGCGATGGCGACGGCGATGGCGACGGCGACGGCGACGGCGACGGCGACGGAAATGGCGACAGCGACGGCGACTGCGGTGGCGGTGGCGGTGGGAGTGGAGGTGGCGGTGGCGGTGGCGGTAGCGGTGGCCGCGACGACGACGACGACGCCAGCGGCGGCGACGCAGACCGACCACCGACGACGGCGACGACGGCTGGGACGACGACGGCGGCGGCGACGGCGGCGGCGTCGACGACGACGGCGACCACGAGGTCACCTTCGAGCTGTTGTAGGCTGCTGGCGGGCTTCTGGTTCCCGAGTCTCGTCAAGCAGCTGCGTCTTGTCGAGAGCCTAGCCCTCCGGGGAGCCCAAAATGGCCCCGGCCCGCCGCGTGAGGGCAGAGCCGTGGCCCCAGATCGAAGTCTACGGTGCCAGGATGAGGGTTCGTCGGCGGTGCGGCCGGGCGGCGAGGAGCAGCGTGTGCTCTCTGCCGTTCTCGCACGGCAGCTCGTTACGGCACAGCTCGGGGACGAGCGCACCATGCAGCGCGACAGCTCGAGTGCTGGAAAAGGCGGCCTCGCATCCCTCCCTCCCTCTCTCTTTGTCTCTCTCTCTCTCTCTCTCTCTCCACCCTCGCTATACCCTTTTTCCGTCCCTCCCTCTCCATTCCACTCCCTCCGTCTCTCCTCTCTCCATCCCAGCCGCGTGGCCATGGCAGGGCCGCTGCTACCCCCATGAGCCAGGGATCACGCCTGCGGAGCTGACTCCTCGGCGGCCGCCGTTGTGGGGCTCAGGACGGATTCGGGGCCCTGGTTCGGCGGAGCACCTGCCGTTCGCGTACGTTGTTCGCTTCGGTGGCACGCGGGTGGCGGTCGTCTGTGTCCACAAGCGCAGGTTTGTGGCGGATGCACGAGTGGCACGTGCTCGCTGCGGCGGAGACCGCGTTGGGCGGATTCATCGGCAGACGCCACGGCCTCCGAGCTTGGGCTCTCCCAGGGCGACCTTCATTGCATGCCTGCGGCTTTCCGAGCACATGAGGAGGTCTTCGCAAGTAGCGCCCCCGAGGCGTGGGACGCGCTGGTCGCCTTGCCTCGCTCACGCCGAGGCACGTGATGCCAGCGAGCGCGGGCCTGACCGGCGCATCGCGCACGCGGCCGACCGAGGTTGATTCTTCGGCGCCTGCTCTTGCTGGACGGCAAGTCAGTTGACCTTCGGGTCCTCGGAGCCGCGTGGGCCGAGTTGCACTCGCGGTCGGCAGCGGCCGTCGAGCTCTGACTTGCGGAGCACGGCGGCATCGGTGCTGCGATGTGGCGCCGCAGCGGCGTTCTCACTGCGAGGACGCTGGCGGTCTTTGGGGTTTGGCTTCACGACGCAGGCCTTCCTCGCTGCGTGCTCGGGCACGCCATCCTCGGCGTGCAGGAGACGCGCCTCCATGCGAGGTCGGCCCTCCCGGAAGAGTGGGATGTTGCACGCCAGCGGCGTCAGGCCGAGCCGCTGGTTCTGCGCCCGCGCCTCTCCCTCGGGCCCTCCTGCGGGCCGTGGTCGGGGACTGCCCGATCGCGGATGGGCCGCATACGGTGGGAGCCCATGCCAAGGAGCACCCTGCTTGCCTGCAGGGTGCCCTGGGTTTCTTGGGTTTCGATGGTCTTGCTGTGGAAGGCGTGACGCTCCCGCGCCCAAAGTCAACGGACGTCCTGGGGTCTCAGGGTTGGGTTTCTTGTGGAAGGCCCCTTGTGGTCGAGCTCCTACTGTGTGGCCGCGTTGACTCTAACAGCCTTCACCGTTCGGCGGCGGAGGAGGACGAGGACGAGGAGGAGGAGGAGGAGGAGCAGGAGGACAACGGCGAGAAGGATGACGAGAAGGACGACGAGAAGGAGGAGGAGGAGGAGGAGGAGGAGGAGGGGGGGGAGGACGAGAAGAAGGAGAACACCTCCTCACCCTCGCCGCCCGGCGGCGGCCCGCCGCCGCCCAGCCCTGCCTCTCCTGGGCCAGGCGCCGCGCGGAGAGTCGTGGGTGACGCCGGCGCCCAGGGCGGACCAAACCGCATGGACGCCGCCGCCGTCGTCGTCGTCGTCGTCGTCGTCGTCGTCGTCGTGGTCGTGGTCGTGGTCGTCGTTCTTGTCGTCGTTCTTGTGGTCCTCTTTCTCGTCGTTTTGCTCTCCCTCTCCTGCCTCCTCCCCCTCCTCGTCCTCCGCCTCGCCGTCATCGCCAACGGCAGCATGACCATCAACACCATCATTGCCATCATCTTCATCATCGTCGTTACCGTCACTCGCAATTGACAGAAGCACCAGCACCACCAGCATACCATATCACCCTAATCATTGCGACCATCCCTCATCGTCATCATCACCACCATCATCATCACCACCATTAGCAGCAGCAGCGTAATCATCATCATCATCATCATCATCATCATCATCATCATCATCATCATCATCATCATCATCATCATCATCATCATCATCATCGTCATCGTCATCGTCATCGTCATCGTCATCGTCATCGTCGTCATCATCATCATCATCACCAACAGCATCATCATCAGCATCATCATCAGCAGCAGCAGAATCAGCAGCAGCCTCCCTTGTCACTATCCCATGACATTCTCCCTCGTCCTCCTCTCGCGTCGTAATGGAGGATCAAGGATTGAGCATCGAGACTTGTGAATGTCTTTGGGCCTTTCTGGGCCTCATGGAGGGCCCCCGTCGCCATGGCTGGATCCTCTAGGACTGGTCCGACCTTCGCCGGCGTAGTCGCAGTCGCCGTCGCCTTCGGCGGGATGGTCTCTCGGTTTTCGAGCCCCGGGTCCCGGCGAGGAGAGGTTGCCAGCGACACGAAAAAATGCCCCCCCGATCGAGTCGAGAGTTCCAGGGCCCCCATAAAAAGCGCGACGTCGGAGGTCTAGAATCCGCCCCCTCCTCCGTCCCCAGGATCGTTGCTCGCCAGAGGGTGTTACGGGGCGTCGGTGCCGTAGGTGGGGCAGTTGCGCTTCTCCCCAGGCGTGCTGAACAAAGCAGTCCAAAACAGCCCTCCTCGTCCTCCTTGTCTGGGCCGTCGTGGGTACACTGTCACCAGGGGTGGGCGCGGCTCGGATGGCAGGTCGGAGCGGTGCGCAGGCGGGGTCCAGGGACTGGTCTCGAGCGGCAACTTGCTGAGGTGAAGGAAGGTTCGGAGGACCCGCCCCAGACTCTGAAGACGGACGGCCCCGACACCGCAGCCCATGTGGCATGCAGGTCGTCGGCGCTGGCTCCCAAAACATTTGCGGGGTCTCGGACGCATTCCCACGTCCGTCAGGCAAGGTCCGCGGCGGCTGCAACCATTGGCGGAATTCGCTCGACAGAAAGAAGTGGTTCGGAAGTTGTCGTACTAGTGTGAAGGATATTGACCCTAGTAGATGCGCGGAGCTCTTCGGCAGTCTTCAAGCGTCTTCGAGGGTATCCTAAGGTTTCAGGGGTCTCCGGAGATTCCCAGAGGAGGAGGAGGAGAAGGACGGTGGGAGGCGCAGTAGGAGGAGAAGGAGGGAGAGGATGAGGGGGAGGCCAGAGGATGGACGGGGAGGAGGATGAACGAGGCGGAGCCGGGGTGGGATGGGAGGAGAAGAACGAAACGGAGGATGAGAAAAAGGACAAGTAAGAGGAAAGCATAGAGGACGGACATTTATTTCGGAAGTGGGGGAGGGAGAGAGGGAGGGAGCGAGGGAGAAGGAGGAGGAAACGGAGGAGGAGGAGGAGGGAGAAGGTCGGAGCAAGGGAGATGGAGTAACAGGGGGAGGCGGAGGAGGAGGCTGGAGGGAAGAGGGGGGAGGCTGGAGGGAGGAAGGAGGAGTTAGGAAATGAGGAGGTAGGAGGGAGAGGGGAAGGCAAGCTAGTTGCGCTCGCGAAGCGGCCGCAGGCCCAACAAGTTCCTCCTGCTCCTCCTTCCTCTTCTTCTCACCTGCTGCTCCTCCTCCTCCTCCTCCTCCTCCTCCTCCACCTCGGCCTCCGTGCTCCTACCCTCCCTCCTCCTGATCCTGCTCATCCGCCTCATCCTTCTCTCTCTCTCTCTCTCTCTCTCTCTCGCTCTCCGACAGTGTACAAACGCCCCCTTTTCCGATTGCGCAGCAAGGGGGGCGCTTCCGAGGCGAATCGATATACTAAAGCAGATGCGGCGAGAGGCAGAGGGGGCGCGGGGGGAAAGGAGACCGCGCTCAGAACATGCAGTCTTCGTGCGCGAGTGCCAGGGGTGTGCACAGCGAAGAGGAAGTCCTTGAACGGCCGGAACGCGAAGCTGGAGCACAGTGGTCGCGGCGCGGCAGGCACGAACAGCAAGGGCAAGGCAAGGACAGTACATAGATCGAGGCAGAGCGTCCGCACATGAAGTCGCAGCACGACTTGGGTGATGGCCAAAGCCCAGGGCGGCGGGTCCTCAGCACCAAAGCGTCGAAGCAAGGACGACCAGGGTCAGCACAAATTGGGGCTGCACGACGAAAACGGAGAACCGCGCGAAGGAAATAGACTTTGGAGGTACCGCGACACAAGATGAGCGCGGCCGTGACATATCCACCAGGACCTTCAGAGATCGTCAGAGATCGTGTTGTAGGGTTCCACGTGCAGCAGCCGGGAGGAGGAGGAACAGGGGAAGGCAGAGGATGGGGACGAAAAAGACGAGGAAATCGGATCCAGACTTGTGGCCCGCTCTGCAGCGAGAGTGCCATTCCGAGCGACAAGGCGAATAACCGATCCTGACGTGTGTCCAACGCTGCAAAGTGGGAGCCCAGGTTTCTGACAGACCACAGACGTCCCGCATGGAAGCACCAGAAACGCAAATCTTGTGTGAAAGCGTTGCGCGGGAGAGGCGGCGCCACGGCTGGCCGTTGCCCGGGAAGGGAGGAGGAGAGTACAGTGGAGACCCATGCCAAGAAACATCTTGTTTGCCTCCAGGGTGCCCTGGGTTTCCTGGGTTTCGCTGGTTTTGCGATGGAGAGCGTGACGTCCCCACACCAAAAATCAGTGGACGTCCTGGGGCCTCAGGGTTGGGTTTCTTGTGGAAGGTTGCTTGTGTTCGAGCCCCTACTGTGCCAACATCGGGCAAGCGTGGATTAGGGGTGAGGAGAATTATATCCGAGGAGAGAGAAGTGGAGGAGGGAGCTGTAGAGCTGGGAGCAATGATGGAGAGCGAGGCAGGAGCACGGAGTTGATCGAGCGGAGGAAGAGGGAGAGGAGGGCGCTGGGGAGGGGAAGGAGGGGGAGGAGGGAGGGGGGATAGGGGAGCTCTGGGGACTGGGGACGGGAGGGGAGAGAGGGAGGACGAGAGGGAAGGAGGAGGAGGAGGAGGAGGAGGAGAAGCAGGAGGAGAAGGAGGAGGAGCGTGGACGGCACTGAGTATGGAGGAGGACGAGGCAGAGGAGGAGGAGGAGGAGGAGCAGGAGGAGGAGGGGGCGGAGGAGGCAAGAGGAGGGCACCGCTGGCGAGGTGGAGACAATTTGAGGGAGGGAGAGAGGGAGCGACGAGACAGGCACAGAGAGGCAGGCAGAAAGACAGAGAGAGAGGCGAGAATGAGATGGTGAAGTAGATGAATGGGTCGCCTTATAAGACCCCACCCCCATCCTACAAGGTTAGAGAGCATGCCCACCCCCCGCCACCATCCTTCACTTCCTCGGGTTTTCACTGCGGTGGGTGGAGTGTCGCCCCTCGAGGTGACCCTGCCATCTCTCGTCGTAACCCCGCTGCCTGCGGCAAATCCCGCCGCCGTGCCAGCCCAGAATTCAAGGCGGCGACGGTTCGAGGGGGGCTCGGGAGGCCGCCACGTGTGACTCCTCGTGCCTACAGAGGATTTTGATGATGATGATGATGATGATGATGATGATGATGATGATGATGATGATGATGATGATGATGGCGGTGGTGGTGATGATGATGATGATGATGGCGGTGGTGATGATGATGATGATGATGATGCTGATGATGATGATGATGATGATGATGATTGGCGGTGATGTTGATGATGTTGGTGATGGTGATGGTGATGGTGATGGTGATGGTGATGGTGATGGTGATGATGATGATGATGATGATGATGATGATGGTGATGGTGATGGTGATGATGATAGTAGTGATGGTGGTGATGGTGATCCTGATAATGCCGACGGTGGCGACGATAAACGATGGTGACGATGATGATGGTGATGATGATGATGATGGTGATGGTGATGGTGATGGTGATGATGTTGCTGATGACGATGATGATGATGATGGTGGCGGGGATATGGATGGACGCTGTAATGGTGATGGCGACGATGATGGCGATGGTGAGGCTGTTGATAATGATGATGAAGATGACGATGACGATGAGTATGATGATGACGACGATGCTGGCGACGATGACGAGTGTAAAGACAATGATGATGGTGACGATGCTGATGATTACGACGATGGGGAGTGCGATGGCGATGATGATGGCGGTAATTATGATGATAATGTTGATGATGGTGGTGATAATTCTAATATATCGGTGATGGTGATGATGGTGATGATGATGATGATGATGATGATGATGGTGGTGGTGGTGATGCTGATGTTGCCGAAGATGATGACGATAGTGATGATGAGGGTAATGGTGACGATGCTGATGCTGATGATTATGGTGGTGCTGATGACGCTAGTGGTGGTAGTGACGATCGTGATGGCGACTATGATGATAATGCTCTTGATGATGATGGTGGGGGTGATGATGAGGAGGAGGAGGAGGAGGAGGAGGAGGAGGAGGAGGAGGGCGAGGAGGGGAGGAGGACATGGATACGGAGGATAAGGAGTTGGAGGAGGAGGAGGAGGAGGAGGAGCAGCAGCACCAGGAGAAGGAGGAAGAGGAAGGCCGTCAACTAGGAGACCTTTCGTCTTCACTGCTTGAAGAGCTCTCCTGGAACTCGTTTGGGCCGTCTTGGGGATGTCGTGGCCACTTGTGGGGCATTCGTGGGAGTTCCTTGAGGCCCTCTTGAGCATGCTTGGGGCATTCTTACGCCGTCTTGGAGCCCTCTGGGTCCTCTTGGCCGTACGGTGCGTGTGCCGTCCTGGACCGTCGAAAAGCCTTTAAGGTTGCCTTGTGTCTCACGGGAGGCCCTCTTTGGCCGGGTGCCCTTTCGGATCATCGTGGGACCTTCTTGGGGGCCTCTTGGGGCATCTTGAGGGAATCGTGGAGGCTTCCTGAGCCGCCTCGAGATAAAGGAAGCCCGAAAAGGCTAGAATGCGAAAGTCAGTAACACACATTGATGGTGAATCACATTTGGGCTTCCCATGGACCCTGTTAGGGGTCCTCGTATGGCCCTTTGGGGCTTTCTTGGCGGCATCATAGGCCATCTTGAAGCCATGTTGTGCCGCTTTCGGGCCATCGTGGGCCAGCTTCGAGCATCTTGGGCCATCTTGGTTGCCCTGGTTACCTGCCTGGGCCGTCTGGGACCTCGGAACGCAGGCACATTGTTTTTTACGAGGGGTCGTCGCTTACTTGGTCCCAGGGGTGCCACTTGAAAGAAGGGGTGGCCTTCCTGTCTCGCCTCGGTCGAAGGTGGTGGGCACCTCGACGAGGCCTGCTGCTGCTGCGTGGTTGACTCGGCTGCGTTGCAGTGGGAGCAAACAAGGGGGCGCGGGCCTCTTTGTTCCTGGTGCACCAGGGAGCGTGGCCTCTGGAGGAGGAAGAACACCTGGGCGGGTCTACGGCTAGGGTCAAGAGAGGAAAAAACGCCCGGACCGGACAATTGGCGTTTACTATATGGGGATGGATTTTCTGCCCTCGAAAGGGGGGTATCTGTTTTTGAAAGACATACAAGCACCCCACCAGGAGGCACTTGACGTTCTGCCACGCCTCAGCGTGCCAGGGGGCACAGTGGTGGACCCTCCTCTGCCAGCTCCTTCTCCACATCATCATGCGTGCCTTCCTCTTCTTCCTCCTTCGCCTGCAACTACACAAACTGTTACCACCACCCCGTATTACCTTCATCGTTCTCACCGTCAATCTCCGTCCCCCTCCCTCCACCACCGTCATCCTCATCGTCACCACCACCACCATCATCATCATCAGCAGCAGCATCATCAGCATCATCGTCACCATCATCATCATCATCAGCATCATCATCATCATCATCAGCAGCAGCAGCATCATCATCATCAGCATCAGCATCAGCATCAGCATCATTAGCATCATTAGCATCATTAGCATTAGCATCATCATCCCCATCATCAGCATATGTAATCATTATCCGCATCATCCGCATCATCGGTGTCGGCATCGTCATCGTCATCACCATTCTCATCATCATCATCATCACAATCGCATCATCAGTATCATCATCAGCATCATCAGCATCGTCATCATCGGCATCATCATCCTCATTACCATGATCATCTGTATCGCCATCGTAGTCGGCAACATCAGCATCATCATCAGCAGCAGCACTATCAGCATCACAAGCATCATTATCAGCATCATCACCACCATCATCATCAGCAGCAGCACAATTGTTATCATCATCATCAGTATTGCGAAGGCCTTACGGCCGATGCCGCCGACCCTGAAGGGGGACGATGAACGACGACGACGACGACGACGACGACGACGACGGCGACGGCGACGACGATCGCGAGTCCTTGTTGGGGCCTTCCCCGGGGCCCTCTTGGGCTGTCCTGGGGGGCCTTTGGGCCGTCTTGGGGCCTTCCCGGGCCATCCTGGCGTGTACTTGGGCCGTTCTGGGGAGCTCTCGGAGGCAACTGGGGCCGACGTGGAGTGTATGAAACCTGGAAGTCGAGCAGGCGAAAAAACATGGGCGATTTCGGGACCTCCTGGTAGCCTCTTGGAGTGGGGAGCTTGAAATGTGGGTTGTGTTTTCCCCTCTTCGGCCTTTCTTGGGGTGTTCATCATCAGTATTATCGTCATTATTTTCATCGTCAGCAACATCACCAGAATCACCATCACCACCATCAGCAGCATCAGCGTCATCATCATCATCATCATCATCATCATCATCATCATCATCAACATCAGCATGATCATCGCCGTCGGCAGCATCTCAGTCATCGTAATCACCACCATCATCATCATCGTCATCATCATCATCAGCATCATCATCGCCATTTTCATAATCATCACCATCATCATTCTCACCAGCATCATGATCATAAGCACTATCATCCTCATCATCGTCGTCGTCATCGTCATCGTCTCCGTCACCGTCGTCGTTATCGCAATCGTCATCATCAGCAGCATCATCATCAGCAGTATCATCATCAGCAGCAGCAGCAGCATCAGCATCAGCATCATCCTCATCCTCATCATCATCTTCATCTTCATCATCATCTTCATCATCATCAGCATCCTCATCATCGTTTCCGTCTTCGTCACTCAACCCTCTGCGGCTCCTCATCAGCGTGTTCAACTCTCCGTCACCGCCCGCGTCCTCACGTTCGCCATCCTCGCCCCCCTCCTGCCAAAGAGGGTTCCACCGTGCAACTCCTGCAGGGCTGCAGCCGCCTCCCCAGGAAAGGGGGACCCGCACCGCTCGGCGTCGGAGCCGACCACCTTCAGAAATCCACCCAGACAGCCCAGCGAGACCTGGATGGAAAAAAAGAAAAACGTGCACCCCGACCCCTGCTCGCCGGCCGCGGCCGCGGCGGTGCCGCCGCGGCGCCCTCGGGTGAGTGCGGGGCTGCGCCGGCGCGGGCGCCTCCTGCCTGCCCTCCCCCTCTTCCCCCCCCTCCCCCCCTTCTTCTGCGCCGCCTCCTTTTCGTTCGTCTGTCGTCCGTCGCTCGCCTGTCGTGTCGTGCCACTGGGCTCCGTCTGCGCTGGTAAAAAAGTGCACCCCGACCCCTGCCCTGGCCGCCAAGGTGTTCCTGACCGTGGCCGCCGTACTGGCCCTGCTCTCGGCCGCCAGCAGCATCGGGAGCACCCGCGCCGGCCCGCTCCCGGCCTCTGACGAGGGGCGAGGGGTTCCCTGCGACGGAGGGGCGATTGGGAAGAGGAGGAGGAGGAAGAAGAAGAAGAAGAAGAAGTGCAGGGGGAAGAGGAGGAGGAGGAAGGTGGGGAGGGGGAGGGGGAGGGGAAGGAGGGTTGGAGGAGACGGAGGGTTGGAGGAGCAGGAGGAGAGGAGGAGGAGAGGAGGAGGAGGGCTCGAGCAGGAAAGCGATTGGGGCAAGAAGGAGGAGGAGGAAGAGAGGAGGAGGAGGAGGAGGAGCAGGAGCAGGAGCAGGAGCAGGAGCAGGAGCAGGAGCAGGAGCAGGAGCAGGAGCAGGAGCAGGAGGAGGGAGGTGAGAGGCAGGAGGAGGGACAAGGGAGGAGGAGGAGGAGGAGAAGGAGGAGGAGCAGGGAGGTGGAAGGAGGTGCGAAGGAAGACAAGGAGGAGGAGTCGACGACGACGGCGATAAGGGGGGACCGACAGCGCCACCCCTCCCCCGCCTCCGTCTCCTCCTGGCCAGGACTTGCAGCCACTTCCCCTCCCCCACACCCTGGCAAGTGGTCTCCGATCTGAGCAGCTTTCGTGGATTGCCCGTCCTGGTCCCGTCCCAGTCCTGCTTCCTTCTTCGTCTCTCGCAATCAGTTGATGGATGCATTCTCGATATGGCGGCGTCGTGAACGGACGCCACCTGCGACGACGGCCCGACGTCCTGTGACGCCGCCAGGCCAGTGCCAGTCCGATTTTACGAGCCCCACCCGTCGCCCAAGCATCGAAAAGGAGGGAGAGGAGGCGAGAGCGGGAGAGGAGGAGGAGAGGAGAGGGGAAGGGGGAGGGGGGGGGGAGGGGTAGGGGGAGGACTGAGGAGTTGAGGAAGGAGAGGCGGAGGAGAGAGGAGGAGGAGGGAGGAGGAGGGAAGGAGGATCGTCTTGCGGAGGCGGACTGCATCGGCGGCTGCGGAGTAGGAGGAGGCGTTCGGCGAGGAGATGCGGCACGGCGGACGGAGGCAGGGGTTCGCATCAGAGGGCTCAGGGGCGCGAGGGGAGGCAGGGGGGCTGGGGGGGGGTGGGTCGGGGGACGCGGGGGGAGGGAGGGGGATGGATGAGGAGAGAGATGAGGAGGATGAGATGGGGGAGGCGGCGGGAGGCTGAGGCGGGGTCGGAGGTGAGGTGATGGCAAGCGGCGGAGGCGGAGGCTGAGGCGGCGGCTGCGGCGGAGGCGGAGCGGCGGCGGAGGCCGAGGCGGCTGCGGCGGCGGAAGGCGGCGGCGGATGCGGCGCGGCTTAGAGGAGGAGTAGAGGAGGAGGAGGAGGAGGAGGAGGAGGAGGAGGTGGCGGAGGAGGGTAGGAGGAGGATAGAGGAGAGGGATTCGGAGGAGGAGGAGGAGGAGGAGGAGGAGGAGGAGGAAGGAGGATCAAGTTGTTTGTGCGCTGTGGGCCTTTCTTGGTCCTGCAGAGACCTCCAGAGACCTCTAGGGACCTCCAGAGTCGTCCAGGGGTTGACGCGACCAATATCAACGTGTCTGCCCCGCTGCCAGAAGTGGCCCGCTGAGTGGCTCTGTACAGAGGCAAACCAGCGATTGCGCTCGCACAGCTGCCTTCGACGGCCGCATCCAAGTGATCCTCTAACATGGCCCAGTTCTTCTGCCTCGTCCTCCCGCTGAGGCTGCACAAGCAGCGGCTGCGTATATGTGCCTCACGAGATTGCTCGTGGCGGCCCAAAGTGTCATCGAGCGGGAGAGCCCAGAGTGTGCATGCTTCGCCAGAGGTCGGTCGCGGTGCTCCTGGCCCTGAAGCCATGGCCACAGGCCCTCCAGCGGGCAAAGAGGCTCGTGCAGCAGCTGCTGTCGCACTCGCTGTGCGGGTGGCCGCGCATGTGACTGTGGACCTCCAGCACTTGTCTTAAGTCGGGCCTGTCCCTCTACAGGGGGAAGATACAAATATAGTCCACAAAAATAGTCCGGAGACGATTTTTTACCATTTGCGAATATGTTTGAAGTATTTTGGGAGGTTCTTCTTTATTTTGGCCCGACCTAGCACTTGTCCCATGGTGCGCTGCAGATCCTCGAGCGGGCGGCCAGGGCGATCTCTGACCAACCGTCGGGCAAGATCCCTGGAGGCGCCAGCTGTCCCCCCGCGGCTGCGCCCGCTCGTCGGGCGGTCGATCCCGTGCCCCCCCCCGTTAGTCCCCCGAAGAAAGCCGCCCTCTGGGGGTGCCCCGGGGCTCCTCCTCTGCAGCGCGGCCCCGCGAGCGGCCGTTCTCCCGACCTCCAGCGCGCTGGTAAAGCGTCACGGGCGCCAGCCCAGCGGAGACGCGGCCCCTTCTTGGGTGTGATTGTCGGCTACGCGTGCAAATGGTTCATGTCTAAGTCTTCGAAAGTTCTCTGGTTTTTTTGGGGGGGGCCAGGATCCTTTCACTCCAAATTGTTCTATCCCGGGCCCCTTCCTGGCCACTGGGGGGCCAGGAAAAATGAGAAACGAGCACAATTTAGAAAGGAGCACGATCATAAATGAACGACGTGTAGGAGTGACCCCTCGCCGGAGTGGCCTCTGGTGCGAGGCTTTCGGGCGAGAGGGGGGTCCAGGCCCCGGACGCGCGGGCCACCGCAGCCGCCCCCGCATGCGAGGACCGGCAGGCCGCAGGCCAGAGGTCCCTCTTGCCCAGGGTTGCTCCTGCGTGTGCAGTCAGGACGCCGGAATGAGCACCACTGCGGGTTCAGTTCGACTAGACGTAAGAGTGACCTTTCGCCGGGGTAACCTCTGGTGCGGGCACAGATGGGTCCCCAGATGGCTGAGAACGAAGCAGGAGCAGCGGCTGGCGCGCCAAGGTTTGGTCCCCACGCGGCCCCCAAAAAGCCGCGCACCAAAGGTCGGGTACAGCCAGGACCCCGGTTAAGGGCAGCTGGTTAGTGATTTGGCCCCGAAGCCCAAAATATGGATTGGAATCACTCAACCAGGTCTGCCGTAGCTGGTGTTTTTCGGGTGACGTAGCTGGTGCTTTTCGGGTGGCGGCAGTTCCAGTTAGTGGAATGGGGCGGGGGGGGGCGCTCCCCAGTACGCATCGCTAAACCAGGCCCCAGTAAACCCAGTTCTGCCAACGCCCGAAAGGTCACTCTTACCCAGGGTCACCCGTGCGTGTCGCCGAGCAGCAGGGGCGCTCGGGCTTTCCAGCCTACCCTCAGATACAGGCCGGGGAGCCGATGCGCAGCCGAGGCCCGCCGTGGCCAGAGGACCCCCTTAGTTCCTGTCTCGGCGCTCCTTGTGGCAGCACGGCGGCTCCTCTCCCCCTCCTCCTTCCCCCCCTCCTCCTCCTCCTCCTCCTCCTCCTCCTCCTCCTCCTCCTCCTCCTCCTCCTCCTCCTCCTCCTCCTCCTCCTCCTCCTCCTCCTCCTCCTCCTCCTCCTTTCCTTCCTCCTCCGTGATCCTACCCTCCCCTCCTCCTCTCACCCTCCCTTTCCCGCCCTCCTCGTCTCCCCCTCCTCCTCCCCCTCCCCCCTTCCTCTCCCCCTCCCCCCTCCCCCCCCCCTCCTCCTTCCTCCTCCTCCTCCTCCTCCTCACTTCCTCCTCCTCCTCCTCCTCCTCCTCCTCTTCCTTCTCCTCCTCCGCCTACTCCTCCTCCTCCTCCTCCTCTTCCTCCTCCTCCTCCTCCTCCTCGGCCTGCGTTGGGAATCCATCCCGTGCCCCTTGTTCTTGCCTGCCGGCCCTCGTTCGAAGCGGATGCTGCGGCCTCGGCCTGTTCCCTGGAGGCCCCGGGGCCGGGCGAGGAAGCAAGGGGCCCCTTCGTCTCTGACCTCGGGGGACCCCGACATCCTGGCGTCTCGAAAAAATCGAGATGGAGGTTTTTCCTAATTTTCCGCTTCTGGGGGCCACTAATTGGCCTCGGGGTCGTCAAAAAACGACTCGGGATGAGAAGCCGGTCCTGGGAAAGTGGTCGAGAGGTCGGGGGCCCGTGTCTCGAAAAAATCGAGACGCCGGATGTCTTGGATGGTCCAGCACTGGTTCCGGCCAGCAGGAAGGGCGGCAAGGTTCGAAGTTGTGGGTTCGGGGAGGTTGTCTTGCCTCTTTCGGCTTCTGGGGGCCGTTTGCAGGCCCCAGGACTGAAAGACTGATCCGAGGTGAAAGATTGCACCAGATGGACACCTGGAGGGGGCCGATTTTGAGCGGATTTGGTTTCATCACCCTCTCCTGACAGATTGCTGGGGCCCAACCATTTCAGACCCCATGGCCGCCTCCAACCTGAGCAGGTGTTGTCCTGCACCACCTCGGGACGGCCTCGCCGCATTAGGGCTATGACAGGGGAGTTGGCACGGCTAGGGTCGGGGGTTGCCGAAGGCGCCCCTGGCCCAAGGTGCCCTCAGCTTTTCGCTAAATTTTAGAGCCCCTGGGGCCCTCTTGGCCTCGTGAGGGTTCTCTGGAGACCGTGGGGGCCCCCTTGGAAATCATTGGGGCACCTTGGGCCAGGAAAACTTCTAGCAACACCCGACGGGGGGACTGGCGACTCAACGTCGGATTGCTATACACCGGTAGGGTTTTGCTGGCAGAAGAGGCAGAGCACGAGAGCGTACGGCGGGTTCGCGTCGTGACGGCGGGGTGGCCAACCCGGCACGGGCGTTCAAGTTTGAACGCCGCCAGTGGCCCTCAATCAACCGACGCCGAACGTTTTGCATCGAAAAGCTGCGATCGTTCACGACGAGAGCCCCTTCTGAGTGCAACTCTCCCCTCTCTCACGAGGACGCTCCGGTGCCCCCCCCTCTCCTCCTCGCACGGCGTCTCGCAAGCTGGGCTCCCGGGCCTGTCGTTCAGCGTGTGCCTTCCGGCTCAGCCCGTCCACGGCCGTCCCGAAGGGCGGTCCCACCTCGGCGCCAGCGTGATGTCAGAAGCCAACCCAGAAGACTCACAAGACGTCGGATTGCCACACGACCACACGGCCAGTCCCGAGCTGCACCCGAGGTGCAAGTCCGTCATGAAAGCTGGCGTCGCTATAAAGCCCTGAGGGAAGCCCTTGCTTGGCGTGGCACACTAGAAAATTGCCCGCTTGGCTCACGTCTGTTCCTCCTCCTCCTCCTCCTCCTCCTCCTCCTCCTCCTCCTCCTCCTCCTCCCCCTCCTCTTCTTCCTCCTCCTCTTCCTCCTCATCCCCCTCCTCCTCTTCTTCCTCCTCATGCCCTTCGTCATTGTTCGCCACCCTCCTCCTGCTGCTCTTCTTCCTTCCTCCTCCTCCTCTGCTCCTGCTCGCCCCTCGTGACGATGACGACGACGACGACGACGACGACGACGACGACGACGACGACGACGACGACGACGGCGACGGCGACGACGGCGACGACGGCGACGACGACGACAGCGACAAGGACGACGACAAGGACGACGACAAGGACGACGAGGACGAGGGCGAACTCCAGGATCCAGCTCCCGCCCGACGTCAGCGCCGCACTCCTCTGTTACGCGATCCTGGTGAGCCTCCTCGGCCAGGCGGCCGGTCGCCGCCTGGCAGCCGCCCGTCGTCGTCGTCGTCGCCGCCGCCGCCGCCGCCGCGGTGGCTGTCGTCGCTGTCGCCGCGGCCGCCGTCTCTTGTCGGGCGGGACAGGGAGGAGGACGACGAGGAGGAAGAGGGAGAGGACAAGGAGGAGGAGGAAGAAGATGAGGACAGCGAGGACAACGGGGAGGAAGACCAGGGAGACCGGTGTTATTAGCCCAAGACGAGCCCACGAGTTTGAAACAAAAAAAAAGAAAAGAAAGAAAAAACAAAAAAAAAAAAAAAAAAAAATCCAGATTCCCTCTGGATTATTTTCATTGCAGGCAGCGGCCCATTCGAAGACATCCGTCTGAGAATGACCAATCGTGCCAAAACACCACTCCAGTGATTTCAACACCGCGGATCGACGTGCTTGCTGCGTCCTGACACCACTAAATATGTATTGCCAGAACACCTCCTTGCCTGGGATTTCAACCCCGCGAATCAGCGTGACTGATGCGTCCTGCCATCCCTAAGTCGCGCCAGAAGACAGTTTCCGGTATTTCACCATAAATACGGATCCTTCTTGCTGCCGCAAACTTTTTGAAAACGAATGTGGTCGGCGCCAAGGGGAGAGCCAGATTTCGAAAAACGAACCGCCCTCCATTCTCAAAGCTGGCGCACATTTCGACAACGAATGTGCGTGGTGCGAAAGCGAGAGCCACGTTTCGAAAAAGAACCCTCCACCCTTGAAGCTGGTGCAAACTGTTAAAGCGAATGTGCGCGGCGCTACAGCGAGGGCCAGATGGTGAAACCGACCAACCATTTACATACCCGTAAAATTTCTGTAAAACGAATACACGCGGCGCAAGGGCGACAGCAAAATTTTGAAAACGGCCCGCCCCTCATCGTGAAACCGCTGCAAACGTTTAAGACGAACATACATTTTGAAAGGGGCCCGCCTTTTCTGTGTGAAACTGCTGCAAACGTTCACGGCGAATGTGCGCGGCGCTCAGGCGAGAGCCACGTTTTGCAAACGGCCCGTCCTCTATCCGCGAAACTGCAGCACATGTTCAAGACGAATACGCGCGACGCTAAGGCAAGAGCCTCATATTGAACAGGACTTGCGTTGTATGTATGAAATTGCTGCAACTGTCAAGTTTCTGAATCATACATGATGAGGAGGCATCAGGCGAAACGCCAGGCCCGACCTACTGGAATATCGAATGGCATTCGGCCCATCCCGCCACCGTGCTTGGGTTGTGGGTATGAAGCCTCATGGATGTTCGTTGGGATCTCGTCGAGGCTTCTCGGGGGCACCCTGAAGGCAGTTTTGAGGCCTTCGGGGCCCCGTGGCTTGGTGCTCCCTTTGCGGCGGTTTCGGATCGGAAGGTCACGATACCTGCGGGAGGAGGGCCACGGGGGGCCTTGGAATCGTGGTGCTGCGAATTCCCTAAGGCTCAGGAAGCGGCAGGAAGTCGTTTCCGAGCGTGCCCGCTGGCGCATGGCGCTCTTCGCATGGCAAGCACTTCTGCCAACGATCTTACCGAGAATCTCACGACAGGCGTGCCCGCTCGCACTTGATGATGTTCACGCTGCCAGCGCTGATGCCAGGAGAGGCACTCCAGTCGTGCCAGTGCGCGGGCACCCCACATCGCATGGTCGGCGTTGTCGGCAGGAGAATATTTCCGAGCGCGCTGGCTTGCTTATGCCGGGGAAACGCAAGACTCGAGTAAGCCGGAAATCGGGTTTACCGACCTTTTTTTCACGAGCGTATCGTGGATATTGACGGTCCGGTTTTCGTGGGATGTTTGCAGCGGGAGCTCGCGCCATATTCCAGATTGGGCCTCGTCATTTTTATGATGGCCCCGTCGGGCCAACCCGAGTCCCCCGTACCCGAGTCTTACGTTTCCCCGATTATGGCGCACATCGCTTGACCAGCGCTTCTGCCAAGAAACTCATTCCTGCCGTGCCCGCTCGCATGCGACGGTCATTGTCGCTGCCGGCGCTGAGACCAGGAAGTTCAGTCCAAGCGTGCCCGCTCGCTTCCAGCACGCCCAGCGTTGCTAAGAAGGGTTGGTTTGGGTTGGTCGGGGGGGGTGCACGGCAACTCTTAGATGAGCAACTCTGTCCATCACACACCTACGGGGTAAGGACAAGCGGAAGGGGGACGGGGAGGGGGATGGGAGGAGGAGGAGGAGGAGGAGGCGGAGGAGGAGGAGGAGCAGGAGGAGGAGGAGAAAAAGGAGAAAGAGGAGGAGGAGAAGGAGGAAGAGAAGAATAAAGAGGAGGATAGTGGAGAAGGAGGAGGAGGAGGAGGCAGAAGGAGGAGGAGGACGCCCACGACCGTGAAGGGCACGACCGCATCCGACGCGCACGAGAGAACAAGCGAGGTGCTATAGGGGCGGGGGGGGGCAAAGGAGGTCCTCCTCCTCCTCGGCCTCCTCACCCCTGGCCCGTGGCGCCTCCACCTCCCGTCCCAGGGCCTCGGCCTCCTCGCGGGAGACATGCCGCGGAGCGCGAGAGGCCGCGCGCGGCGCCGGCCGCTGGCGCTTCTCGCGCCTCCTCCTCCCGTCCTGGGGCCTCGGCCTCCTCGCGCGCGAGATATGCCGCGCGAGAGGCCGCGCGCGGAGCGCGAGAGGTCCTCGGCCGCGGAGCGCGAGAGGCCGCGCGCGGCGTCGGCCGCCGGCGCCTCGCGCGCGGAGGACCCGGCGGGCCCCCCGCCAGCAGCGGCCTGCGGCCGCGGGGCCGTCGGCCGGCTGCCACAGCCCCACGGCCGACCTCGGCCTGCGCGCACGCGTGCTGGAATCCAGCCTGTCCCTCCTCCTCCTCCTCCTCCTCCTCCTCC